GTCCAAGGGCAAGAGCGGCGGGCAGCAGCTGCCCAGCCAGGAGCCAGCCAGGAGCCTCTGCAGCCTCGTGTCCCAAATCCCCGCGGCAGAAATGCAGTCCCCGGTGTACCAGGAGCCCTACTCAGCACACGGCTCCCAGCTGGAGCTGGGCAGGGTACGGGATGGGATGGGATGGGTGAGGGATGGGGATGAATGCAGGATGGGGCTGAATGCAGAATGGGTCTGGGTGTGGGATGGGGCTGGGTGTGGGATGGGGCTGGGTGTGGGATCAGGATGGATAAAGGATCAGGATGAATGAAGGATGGGGCTGGATGTGGGATGGGGCTGGATCCTGCTGCCTGGGAAGAGCCAGGTTCAGCTTTCCGTGCCGGTGCTGCTGGCAGGGACAGGGGCCTGGCAGGTGCTTGGAGCAGGTGTGAAAGCATTTCCATGGCAAAGGGGCTGGCAGGGGAGGCTGCAGTGGCACATGGAGCAAGGCCTGGGATGTGGGCCCCAGTTCCTGAGGCAATCCATCAGCAGGAAGTTCTTGCCTCATGGGACACAGCCTCCTCTTCCAAGGGTTTTCCAGCATGTCTCCACCAGTTTTTTAGTGATGCCACTTTCCCAACCCCTCGGTGACTGTTCCTTAAGGAATTCCCCTCCTTGGCCCAGCCGGGAGTTGTCTCCACCATCCCACACGGATGAGCAGCATTTGGGGCTTTATAACCTTGCTCCAGCCCCTCCTGGGGATGAGCTGCCAGTGCCCTGTCCCCGTTTCCATCCTGCCCTGGGTGGGAATTCATCCCTCAGCAGCTCCCAGCTCCCTGGAGCAGCCGCTGCTCCCCCTTTGCACCGATGCCTACAGCCCCAGTTCCCCAGTGCTCCCAGTGGGGCCGGCTCCAGCCTCCTGCAGGAGCTTCCAGCTGGCCCTGACTCAGCTCCCGGGCTCCCGGCTCAGCCCTGGGGCTGCTTCTTTCCCTGCCATCTCAGGAGGGATGGGGAAACTCCGGAGCAGCGTTTCGGGGCGGGGCAGAGGGGAGCAGGTTTCCCGTGTCTGCTCACAGCCAGCCCGGGAGGAGGCAGAAACCCCCAGACAAAGGCAGAGACGTGAGCCAGGCTCCCGAAACTGGAAATGAGTCAGAGCCAGAGCCCACTTTGGCCAGCCCCAAAAACTCCCGGCTGCGATAAGGCAGCGCCCTTAAAGGCCGCATTTCCAGCCGTGGGGATCCAACGGGGATCCAGCCCCCTTCCCTCGAGCCCTCCTGGCCCTTCCTGTCCTTCTGCATCCCTTGAGTCGCTTTCCGCACTTGTGGCCAGCCCCGGCACGCCTGGATCCCTGGGGGTGCCGCACGGCCTCTCCCGCCGCCTGAGCCCTGCCGGCTTTTTGGGGAGGGGGCGGAATCCGCAGCCCGGTGCTTCCAGCGGGGCTGGATTCCAGCGGGGCTGGATTCCGGCCGGGCAGGGACCGTGCCC